GAGTCAGTTCGTTATCAGACTTCCGCTGCATAAATGCTCATCCTATATTGGTTGATCTTTGGTTCTGCCCATACTCATTGAAGTATGTAACATGCACACAACACTCTCCCCCTGCCGCGTAAGCTGCAGCATCGGATGATGTCCTAGCGCAACAGCGAGGTCACTGCAAGTACTATGCCAAATTCCACAAGATCTCATGTGACACCTGGAGCACTACTGCTTAAAACACACCCTAGAAGCTACCTCATACTTCCGTGTGCTCCGAAAGAGCAGCCCACGGAATGACACCCCAGCAAACACTCTCTGAGCCTCCTTGCAGAGAAAAAACAAACCAACAGAACACATCCATCCTTAGAGAGAGAGTAGCTCGCTAGTACGAGAGCCCGATCCTCTATGTGTGTGTGTGTGCCTGCGTGTGTGTGTGTGTGTGTGTGTGTGTGTGTGTGTGTGTGTGTGTGTGTGTAGCGGAACGTTCTGTAAGTTCAAGAAGGCTGTTTGTGAAAGGCCGTCCTGTCCAGATTTGACAGGTAATTGAATTGGTTGGGTTTAAAGAATTAGCCTTTTAAAGAAAACAGCTTGAGATATCAGAAGTGAGAATGTTGACATGAATAACAAAAAATCAGGTGAAAAACATGATTGCTCAAAGTTCAAGGGTTTCTGCATTCAGTCAATCTACTCAGATGAATCGGTCCCTGAGGAAACCCTGAAAGGTGGCGCCGATGGGTACTAGAAAGTGACAAAATTGGAATTTATCTAGCGCAACGATATGCGATGTCTTAGCAACACAAAACATATGATAAAGGCAAAAAGACTTTCCCGCCAAGTCAACTCGAAAGAGACCTGCTAACAGGAAAGCACTGTGTGTGTGTGAGCTGTCACCACAACAACCCCTTGTCCAGAAAGATAAGTAGATTTAAAATTGAAACAGCTTTGCCTCTATAGCAAACTCCTTTCTCCGCTTTCCTTACTCTGGCCTTTACTTCTCACGTTTCTTATTTTAGGTCACCCTTTACTGTGCCTCACATGTACAACGCTCGCCAGGTCGATTGGCCCACTTGCACGTTATGAAAAGCAGGCAGAATAAAAGGGGAGGTAGACTCCGGTTCAATTTTTAGCACACCTTCAACTTATATTTCACCTGTTCACTTAACGATGCACATTCATATGCATTTGGTAGTAGTGCTACACAAGGGGATGGAGCTGGGCATCCCTTTATACGTGATGAACGCGGACATGCGTCGTTCGCCCCCCCTACTACACATGATTTTATTTTTTTTCTGTACGCGTTTGTATGCGCATACATAACAACTTTTGTTAAGTTTTTTCTTTCCTTATTTTCTCGTTTTTAATTTTTATCTCAAAATTGGTTTCGATAATCGATTATCACTTTTGGTCTGAGGCAAAAGTTGTTCAGGATAATGTCTCCTATCACATAATT